TTTTTTTTTTTTTGTTTTTTCCAGGTAAATTCAGGTCGATTTGGTCAACTTAAATTAGCCGAAAATCGGCAAGCCAAATGTAAAATAGCGTTAAAATGTTTTCCAACTACACAGGTAAAACAGGTAACTACCAGTTTTTTTTCCACATTTTTTTTTTACATTTTTTGATACCAACAGTATTAACAGTGATTATTTATATAAAAAAAAATAAACTGATAAACGGGAAAGCAACAAATTATAAATTTGGGGGAGGGGGGTACAATAATTAAGCAGATCAAATTTTTGTACCCCATTTCAGTGTCAATTTTCTGTTTTCATTAATTTACGGTTAAAAAAAAAAAACCTATTATTACTTTATTTTTAGTCATAACATTTAATATACAGTTTTCAAGTTTTTTTTTTTTTTTTGCAGCTTTATAATTTGAACTTTTTTTTTAAGGCAGATTTTATTCGTGAATATAATTGCTCATTTTTTCTTTCACCACATCAAAATATTATTGACACCTATGAAGGTATGTATCAAGCCCACGATGAATCGTTGTATTTTTTTGTCCAAGAAATATGTCCAGGTTTAACGCTAAAGGAAGCTGTTGAAAATTCATCATCTGGTAAATTGCTTTATTCATTTCATACTTCCTGGTTTTTTTCATGTGTTTTATGAGGCTTTTTTTTCTACATTTGTCGTAATCTAACACAAAAATAGAATGTAGTAAGGAGGAGAGGAACGGATAGAAGGGTGGGGAGGGGGGGGGGAAAGGATGGCAAAAATAAATTTAGACAACTGAAAAGAAGTAATTGTAAAACAACAACAACAACAACAAAAAAAAAGCGACATTTTTTAGACATTGGAAAACACTTAAAATAAGAAAGACAAAAAAAAAAGTGAAATTTTTATAATTTAAATTATAGATAAATCAACAATTTTTTTTTTTGCCTAACGTATCGTCAAATCGTTTTCTGCTCATTCTTCGAAAAACAAAAAAACAGATTTTAAAATGTTATCTGTTAAAGTAGACAAGTTTTTTTTTTTCCTTTGTTTTTGTTGTTGTTTTTGCGGGGGCAATAAATTATGCAACAAAACTTTAGGCGATGCTTTTCCATCATTAAACAACTTAAATATAATATTAACTGCTTATTTGTTTGCTTTTTTTTTTTTTT